CAGCAGTGCCCCACAGACAGTCGCGGATTGAGTGACCAAATTATTATTATTATTTTTTGGGGAGGGATTATTACCCCCAGAAAGCAATCAGCCAATCGACTAACAACCGCGTTCCCACTTACTGCTCGGTAAACGGGGGCCTGTGGAGTAAGGAAGTGTGCCTAAGTAATTAACAGTCTGACACTGGCGCTGCAGTAATTGTGAGTTTGCAATCTGATCTGGATTGAATCGTGTCTCGAACATCCAGTCCATCTAGGTAACAGTGAACTGCAGGACTGCAGAGGGCAGGCCACAGGCTGAGTACACCAAAGGATTAGAATTATCCTTGTGCTAATTGTTTGAATGACATTGACATTAATCCTCTCCGGTTGGAACAGATCCAGTGCCACTCTGGTGATACGATGGAGACGCTTATTCCAGAGATGCCCTTACACATCTGTCGTAAACACTACCAGTGCCCGTGTCAGCCTGAAGGAGCAGTGCAGACCCACTCCTGACCATGTATGGCCAGTGTTCATTATCATCATCGTCATAATAATAATCCTTGCATTTAATATAGCGCACATCGTTGAGACAGCTCAAAACGCTTCATAGTGGCTATATTGTAACGTGCATTGACTGTGTATTTTATGGGCTGTTTTAACGTCCACCCGAACAGGCTCAGACAGGTGTTTGGTTTAACATTTCACCCGAAGAACAGTGTTTCTGATAATGCAACGCTCCCCCCTCCGCCTCCCCAGCAATGCACTGGGGCATCAACCCTAACCCTAACCCTAACCCTGATACCCCCTAACTGGGGCATCAGCCTGGACTATATGAGCTCAAAGTCCTGATATGTGACTTGAACCCACAGCCTTCTGACTCAGCAGTGAGAGAGCTGCCGGCTGAGCCAGGCTGACACACTATTCCCCGTGAAGGAGTTTGGATCGAGCAGTGTTTTTCTGCACAGATAGCAATTGGCACGGCCTTGCTCATGTGCTAATGGCATGGCACTGCCCCAGTCTGAGCGAGCAGCGTGGTGTAATTGCAGCTCGCAATTAAGCCTCTATCTTGTGCAATGGAAAGCCAATACCATCTGTCCTTCCTTATGGTGTTAAACTGAAAGGATTCAGAACATTTTGAACGGGTGTTAGTGAGGGTGGAAGGGGGTGGGGGGAAGAGAGAAAAATCTTTGCCTAAAATTTCCGAGCGTATATGTTCCCTCTTTCCTACCAGGGAAACCTGTGTTAAAGGGGCAGGTTCACCCTTGGAAATATAATAATAATAATCCTTGCATTTGATATAGCGCTTTTCACGTCTTCTCGACGTCTCAAAGCGCTTCACAGAATAGACTGTAAAGTGAATTGACCGTACATTTGTGGGTGAAATAGTGATGAAGGGCCGAATTCTACACAGCCTTAGAGTTTGTCTTTGATTTTATTCTTCAAATTCAGTTTTAATTTGGATCAGTTGGAACCCACTTTCTCATTTAAGAATCGCAATGGTTGCCCACATGGGTGTCTGTGTGTGTGTGTGTGTGTGTGTGTGTATATGGGACGGGGTGGGGTGGTAGGAAGTAGAAATGGCTTCCAAATTAAGGCTGAATTGAAGAAATTGCTGGAATTTTGCGCCGCTTTAACTGTGCTAAAAAAACACAAAGTCACTAGCCTTCATAAAATCTTGTGAAGTGCTTTGACCTAGACAAAATGATGATATCCTGTATGAAGGGCACTATATAAATGCAAGTTATCGTACATCAAATACAAGTGTTATTATTATTACTACACAGAGCTGTTTGCAAATGCACACTTTTTTCCGGTCCCCAGCTATGCTGGTACATAATGGTCACTAGCTCAGCGACAGGCCATGAATTACTGTGACATTATCAGTTCCTCAAACTGAAGGGCTTCGAGGTGGGACCTGATTTGCTTAGCAACGGGGACCTGGTTTGGTATCATTCCCAAGGCAACGGGGAAAGACAATAAGGACGTCACTGCTGGTAATGAAGGGGCAGCTCAATTAGCACATGATTAGCCAAGCAATAGGGAAATCACTCACGACGTTAACTTATCAGCCATCGAGATTGTGCTACAAAATCGCACCCAAACCAATGATTTAACACTGCGCATCAGCTTATGGTTGGCTGGCAAAGTGCCAGTTTATGAACACTCCGCTCGTTCAATGCAGCAACTCTGTGCAGGCTTCTGTGCATTTTAACTGCACGGTTCAGCTTGCCCTTCGCTTATTGCTAGTGGCAGCCTGTCATTGTACTGGTCTGTTTCAATTACGGTGCATCGCTATTGCAAAGCAACACGGCGCAAAGCCAAGTGGCCTACAAACACACAGTCACTCCACTTTTTACAGCGAAGCGTGGAAGTCCTGTAGCGGAAAGGGCTGTATCAAATGCAAGGATTTATTATTATTGTTAGTATTATTATTAAGTCTGAACAAACCCCTCAACAACTGAACACTGCAGTGGAATACATCAGCCTGGCTCCTTCTCTCTCTCGTCTCTCGATTCAAAAGGTCGTGGATACCAGATTTGAGCTCACGGTCTTGGCCGACAGCCCAATTCAGTTCTTGGCTGGTGGAGGGTGGTGTGTGTGGGGGGGAGGAGGAGGGAGGGGGGAGGAAAGAGCACTACATTTTTAGAAGCACTGTCCTTAGGATGAGATGTTAAACAAAGGTCTGTCCGGGTGGATGTTAAAGATCCTGCGACTCTATTGGAAAAGAGAAGGGAATTTCTCTCTCCCGGTGTCCTGGACGACAATCTCCACATTAATTGGTCATTCTGCTCATGGGACCTTGCTATATCTACCTACTACTAAAAAACAGTCACTACACTTGACGGTAATTACCCGTGAAACGAGTAATTACTTGGTGATATTGACTAAGAAGGTGTATGAAATGTTTGTGCGATGATGATCGTTCTGCCCTCCCCTGCAACGCTGTGCGCAGATGGAGTGAGTGGAGCTGTGAAGCACATCATTGATATTGGCTGTGAGTGCCCGCACGATGCAGCCTACACGCTAGATTGATTACATGTCAACTCCGGGCCACTGGGCTGCTAATACAGCCAGGAACGCAACACGACAACAGAACTGCACTACAGTGTATTATAGAGGTAAGGGAGAGTGTGGGGAGAGGGAGAGAGAGAGAGAGAGAGGGAGGGAGGGGATGAGGGAGGGGTTGAGAGGTGGAGAAAGAGAGGGAGGGAGAAAGAGAGGGGCGGGGGGGACAGGGGGAGAGAGATGGGGAGAGGGGGGAGCAGGGAGAGGGAAAAAGAAGGGGAGGAAGGAGAAAGGGAGAGAAGGGGGGAGGGAGGGAAGGGGGAGTGGAAGGGGAGGGAGAGGGAGAGACAGTGGGGTGAATTCATTCCCAAATTAAAAGAAGTTTCCTTCCTCCTTCACTCTCCACTCACCCCCCACATCACTATCACCATCACCAGATCCACTCTGACAACTGAACTAGTTTTTTTGGTCTGACACACGCGGAAACCCATTGCCACCCCCACAAAACCCACAGTCAATTCACTTTACAGTATATTCTATGTAGTGCTTTGAGACGTCTCGAAGACGTGATAAGGCGCTATATCAAACCAACGTGTGTGTGTCTGTGCGTGTATGTGCACGCGCGGGGGGGGGCTTAAACCCCTTACCTATTGAACCCAGAGAGACCGTGCTATCCACTGAGGTCAACCCTACCTATATATCAACAACACAAATGGCATTTGTACAGCGTCATTCATGTTGAGAGGATAGTAATACTAATAATCCTTGCATTTGATGTAGCACCTTATCATGTCATCTAGATGTCTCAAAGCACTTCACAGAATATACCTCAAAGTTAATTAATTGTATATTTTGTGGTCGAAAGTGCTGGACAATAAGGGGTTTGCACCCGAGCGGAGGGTTAGGATCAGAGAGGGGTGGAGAGCAAAGGGGGATGGAGGAGGGAAGATGACTGAAGGCACTGTTGAAAGCAAAAGAGACGGGCCTTGGCAGAGGCAAGAGAGGGGGCGAGGTGAAGGGGCTCCAGGATGGAGTACCAGAGGGTGGGGGCAGGATGACTGAAGGCCCGACCCCCGAGGGTGGAGCAGGAAGGGCGGGGACTGTGGAGCAGGCCAGTGGGTCTATCACACGATACACTATACCTGTGTTAGAGCTTTGGGATTTTCGGCCCATGTGAAAGACGTTGTGTAAGCTGTTAAGGGTGATGAGAGCACACCTGCAGCCACCAATCCAATGGATCGACGCACAGCACATCTCTCTCTTTGTTACACCGGCCGTGCTTCGCTGCTAAATATACATCTTCCACCACTTGTGACAAACATTCTCTCAATACATCTGATCCCACGTGGCAGTTGCATAACGACTCGCGCTAAAGTGTTGTCACAGTGAGAGATGGGCTGAGGCAGGCACAGCACAGAGCGATACTCTCTGCTTACACCAGAAACTTACAGCAGTGGAGAGCGTGCATTTGTTTCTTTAATAAAAGAGGACGTCTCTCCACCCTAACCCCTCGCCACTCTCACCCCCACTCCTCGCCCCAGTCCAGAGCGTCAGCCTGGGCTTTGAGCTCAAAGCCCCGAGTTGGGCTTTCAACCCACAACCTTCCGAAACCTCTTACTTTATCCATTTCCTCTCTAGCATTAAGAAGTCAGGGGTTGGAGGTGGGGAAGGACACTTAAGTCCGGATCAGCCGAGTACAATCAGTCCAGACAATCAGCCTGAACGAAGCTGCAACCTTCTGCAACCAGAGGCGTCAGGCTGAGCAAAGAACAGCCTGACCTGAAACCGACATGTGTGTGGCAGAACCTACGTTAAACCCTCGCCATCTCTGGGGAGTTTCCGCCATTACCCGCCAGTCCGTTCCTCATGTCCTGTACGGGTGCGGACAGGCAGGAGGAATTATCCTGTGCAGCGCTGGGTTTGGGATTTCAGCGCAGAGACGGAGCGAGAGAGAGAGAGAGAGAGAGAGAGAGAGGATGTGATGGGAGCTGATCGAACCGGTCACTTTACCATCTGCTCGTCCTCCTGGCTGTCATTGGGGTCACGTGGCACCCTCGGGTGCGACCCCCCTCGGAATGAGCCCCCGCTCCGGCCGGGATCAGTGGCATCGCTCGGCTTCTCCGCATCTGCAAGGAAAGGAAAATCGGGAATCGTTAAAAGTTTCCGCAGGGACAACCGGATCAGGAGGAAAATAACGTCCGACTCCTTCAGTTAAACCAACGCAGCAATAACATCTCCAAGCGCTTCACAGGGAATCGGTGTCAAGTGTAGTGACTAAGGATTTTGTAGACGAACGAGACAGACGATTTGTGTTCAGCAATTTTTGGGAGGGGGGGCGTGCAGGGGTGGGGGGGTTTGTCACCCGGATTGACATGCGTAAATCCATGCTGAGAATTCCAGGCCTCCCAACCTACACATGGAAATCCATCTCCGTAGCACAGGTTGGCAAGAGTCTCCAAACCGAGCTGAGAATTCCAGGCCTCAGTTTTGCATCTCGGCAATTTATTCTCTGACGGCAGAGCACTCTCCCCCATCCCCCCCAGCTCTATGTCGGACTGTCAGCCAGGCCTTTGAGCTCAAAATCCTCAGTTGAGGTTTCAACCCCTAACCTTGAGAAACCTCTTGGTTATTTATCTGAAACATTCTCCCTCTGTCTCTCCTCCACGTCCCTTCCTTTCCTAACTTCAGATTGCGCCTGAAGACCTTCCTCTACGACCATGCCTACGGTGACCTCCCCCGTCCCCCCGGCTAGGAGTTGTGCTCCGCCACTGTCAAGCGCTCTGGGACGTACCCTACGTGAGGAGCGCCACATAAGTTGTTGTTATTTCCTCTCGAGCCATTAGAAGTCATCAGTTTCCTTTTCTTAAACCAGGTCTAAACCCAGTCACAGTTTCTTTTTCTAAAAAAGCTTGTTATCTCTCTTGATGTAAAATCTATGTCCAATACAAAAAGCGCTTGCTCCCGGGTGATTAATTAATCCTGTCAAGACACTGGTAATCTGGCACCCTGCCCGTCACTAGAAACAGCTCCTTCACTGAAAATGGTTTCAATTTGCGTCTCGGTTGTGGGAATCATGGCACACGGTGACAGCGAGATCCGTTAATTATTTCCCCTACTTTTTTGTTGTAACAAGAAGAATCCTCGCGTTTGATACAGCGCCTTATCACGTCATTGAGATGTCACACAGCGCTTCACAGGTTATACTGTAAATTGAATCAAGTGAATATTTTTTGGGCGAAACGTGGCAACCAATTGCTCATAGCAGGGTCCCACAAACACTTGTGGATTCAGTGACCAATTTCTTTTTGAGGGATTATTACCCCCGGAAAGTGATCCACCAATTGACTCAGGTTCCTACTCACTGCTAGAAAAACAGAGGCGAGTGGAGTAAGAAAATTTGCCTAAGGTTTTACCGCTCCCGGGAATCTAACCGGGTCCTCTTGCTTGCGCTGCGAGAGCACTAACCACTACGCTACGGGATTCCTATGATAAAGATATTCTGCTTTTAGTTGCGTCTCATCAGCACTGCCCGGGAATCGAACACTCTCCACTTCCCCTGATGACGACAAGCAGAAAACGCTTTACAGCCGCCCGCTCCCTATGGAAACACTATTTCAGTGAGTGAGTGGTAAATCTATGGAACAAGCTCTCTAGGGAGACAGTGGGAAGCAGAAAGTGTCGATTCATTCAAATACCGATTAGACAGATTTCTTTTGGAAAATAATACTTCGCTATATGGTATATCAGTGATATGAGACATGACATATATTAAGTGTGTTGTGCTTGGAAGAACCAGGCAACTAGGTTCCCAAAGCTTTCCATTGCGTTGTAGACTAATATTTGTGATCAACATCTCTATTATTGTAGATCATGACCACCAGGATGGTAGAAGGTGAACCTTGGTAGAAGATGGACGTTGGTCTTTTTTACTGTCTAGCAATTCCTATGTTCGTATCCGGCTGTGCAGAGCAGAACAACAGTCTGTCTAATAAATGAAATGAAATCCATTTCCCACCCACCCACCCACCCACACCCAGTAAAAATAAATTGGCTGTAAAATCCAAGGTTATTTTCCTAAGTGCACCATAAAACCAACACCAGCCCATTGTAAAAGATAAAATATTGGCAAATTAAATGCAGTCTTTTCCCCTTTTACAATTGCTCTGCTCAACACTGCATTACACCTGCCACAATACATTGGAGCTTATTGAGGAGCTGGCATTTTAACTCCGTTCAAGCTTAGTGGTGAATTTAGGTCTCAATCCCCCAAAGTTCGTCACTCCCAGATCCATCATCGGCCCAGAGCGATTTTGCTTCCGAGTTGGAAGTTTGTGGGTTCAAGCCCCCAAATGTAATTTAATGTACCGCTGGGATAGAGGCACTGTTCTTCAGAAGAGATGTTAAACCTAAATCCTCCACATGCGCTGCTCAGATGGACGTTAAAGATCCTGCGGATAGTTGGGAAAGAGAAGGGAGTCTCCCTTCCCCGGCTTTCAGGCCAACAATCCCACAGATAAAATTAATCATCAACTTCAGGGCTGTTTGCATGGATGCGCAAGCTGGATTGCTGTGTTTGTCTACAAAATACAAAGTCACTACTCTTCAAAGCACATTATGTGAAGCGCTTCGAGATGTTTAGACGACACATGATGAGGAATGCAAGGATTATTATTATTATATCCAATTCAATTTAATAACTGGTATGGACCAGGTGTGCCACAACAATAATAATCCTGGGTTAATTATAGGATTTTTTTTAATAAGCATTTTAAGACTGCTAGACGCTGTAATTAAGTGTAAGGAATATTATCTTACTTCTAACTTCCTCGGTTTCCCACTCCATCACTATAAAGTGCTTCGAGATGTTGCCTTACATGAAAGGGACTGTCCTTCAGATGAGACGTTAAACCCAAATCCTCCACGTGTCCTGCTCAGATGGACGTGGCAAGCATTTGTAAATGCAAGCATCCTACCCTTTTGTTTTGCTCAGCCAGGTGTCTGACGCACGTGGAATCCCAGCCCCATGCTTAAGAGTATCCAAACCCAACTGAGTATTCCATGCATCCCACCTACACATGGGAATCCCAGAGAGAGATTGTTAAAATAGAATGCGCCCTCTCTCTCTCTCCCCCTCCCTGGAGGGACACATCCTGTCGACCTAATTTCAGAAAGTATAAGGCGCAGGTTGACAAGAGCCAAGGCTTGGGAATGTGAGTTGGGAATGTGTGTTGTTTCCTTAGACTACCTCCTACCTCTAGATGTCTCTCACAGAGAGAGTGGGTGCAAACTACAGTGCTGACCCCTAGTGGGCAGGTACCAGAACGGCACTCCATCCTGTACTGCCCTCGTTCCAGACAGGGGCAATTCAGATCTGAATACATGCTGCTTTAGGGAATATTCCAGCAAAGTCGATTCCCTCAAATGTGCCTTTGTGCGATATCCAACGAATAAGTGTTTTACAGTCGGTAGTGTGGGCATGTCACATATCTCAGGTTCACGTTTCGCCCAGAAAATACGCAGTCAGTTCATATTACAGTATATTCTGTGAAGCGCTTTGGGAAGTCTTAATGGCAAGTAGCTGTATCAAATGCAAGAATTATTATTATTATTATAATAACCTGAGAGAATGGCCGTACGTGGCGGGGGTGTTGTGGGGAGGGCTTGGAGATGAGTGTTGGATGACAAATGTCTTCAGAAAACACTGGGGTTATGTCAGGTCAATGCTGTAACTGGAACTGGCGCAACAATAGGAAAGCCTGACAACGAACCTGTGGCATTGATAGCCTCGCCAGCTTCTCTTACCACCCAGTGCCCGGAGTCAGTCAATAAGGGGAGGGTTCGCAATTCGACCATGCAACTTGAGAGGCGAGCGAGTGAAAGGACCAGCGTAGATGAACAAAATATACCACCCAATAAAACAATATCAGCTTTCCCCGAGGAAGGTCTCTCGCCTGCTGACAGTGACGCAATAGCAGGTATCTCTTTAAACGGCTTTAAATAAAAATACCACTGTGCTTAGATTCTCTTAAAGGAGCATTGCCCACATGTCCTGATCGTCCAGTTCAGCAAACCTATTTCTCTTTACTTAAATNAAAAAGCCGGTATCCTTTCTTTGGCTGCAATTCAGCTACAGAGATGTCGAAGGTTGATCTCATATAAATAATATATAATCCTTGCATTTGTTGTAGCACCTGATCACGTCTTCGAGACGTCTCAAAGCTCTTCACAGAATATCCTGTAAAAGTGAAATGACTGTGTATTTTGTGGCCGAAACGCGGCAGACAATTTTATACGGCAGCGTCCCACAAACAGTCGTGGATCCAGTGACCAAATCATTATTGTTATTTTTTTGGAGGGATTACTACCCCGGTAAAGCGATCTGCCAATCAACTAACAACCAGGTTCCAACTTACTGCTAGGTAGACAGAGTTGTGTGTGGAGTAAGGAAACTTGCCTAAGGTTTCGCCTCGACTAGGAATCTAACCGAGGTGCTCTTGTTTGCGAGGCGAGTGCACTAACCGCTATGCTACGGGATTCCACAATACAGGATATTCTGCTTCGAGTAGCGTCTAGTCAGCCCTTGAGCAGGTGCCTGTCGCTGACTGTGTTTTTCAGCCACAGACACTGGGCCATCTCGTCCCTGACTGAGCCGCAAGCTGTCCTTCCAGACAGCTTTGCCCGGGTAATAAATGATCTCAGTAATTGAAATGCGAGTGAGATGGAGAATCCAAACGTCTAGCTGTTGGCGTTAAGCAGCCCTTATACTGTGGGCCATTAGGTCTCGTAATGAGTGCATCCATTTCCCGACCGTGTGCCAGGCAACTGGGAGACGTTAGGAGTCAATGAGCTGACATGCACGCACGAGACATGTTATCTTGCAGGATTATTATTATTATTATCGTACTGTCTGCCCTAAATATACACTGTATCTCCCCCCAGCTCGGGTGCTAAGCCATTAAAGTTAACCGCCTTGGGATGTCCTCCCAACATGAAAGGCACTATACACAGTAAATCCACTGTGAAGCGCTTTGAGATGTTTCAACGACATAATAAGGTGCTATATCAAATGCAGAATTCTTCTTATTATTTTTATATAAGTGTAAATTTGTTCTGCATTGTATTGTGC